TTCCTGTAATTCGGCCATGACCGCTTCCTTCCACAAAGTTTTCAGCTCACATTCAGTAATCATCCTGTATTTGGAAGCTCTATTTTCGGCTAATTAAATCGTTGTTAAATAAGCTCATTTTATAGGCCTGTGTGCTTAATGTATTCAGTTTTTATGGCGCGGTGCTTTCTAGTAGAAGGTTAGCAGCATAAACGGGAAAACTGCTGCCTTCCTCTGAGTGCAAGATATCATAACCCAGAACATCATGTTAGGAAATTTTCTCGAAGTTGGTCAGAAGTTTTGAAGAGTTAGGAAGTTTTATTTTCCGTATCATGCCACTCATTTTGTTCGGCATTTAGTTAAAGTAATGAAGGCTGAAGGTTTTCTAGTATTCAGAACAATTCTATCTTCTGCGATATAATGCTGTGTAGCCCATTGAAAGTCAACCGAATTTTCGAAGGAGCATATCGCCTCCATCTTCAGGACCGAAGAATAAGCCAAGTACAAAATCAGCATGTCGTAGGTAGCAAGTTGGTTTATTGCTTACTCACTCTTCGACTCTGTATGTAGAGGCTACGTGTTCCTCCGAAACGTGGTTCATTTCAAACTGATGACTCTGCATTATATCCGAGAAACAGAACTCTTGAAATTATCTCTAATTAACTAATTAAGCACTGCTCCGTGAAGACGTATGAGGGAATGGATGCATAGTTCCAACCACTCTTGACCTCGACACTAGTTGGAGGTGGTTGGACAGCTTCACGACTCGGCCGCTTTGCCTCCGCGGAAAGGGCGCCCTTTACCCATTGGATAGGAGGCCGGGTCGGCCCCGGGAGCGGCCTGAACGACGTGAAAATGAGAAAAATTCTGCCCCTACCGTGACTCTAAATCCGACGAGCTCGTAGTCAGTCGCTATACCGACTGCGCTATCCTGGACTCAAAAATTTTATGTAGAGTTCACTCATAGGTAGTATTTCATATGACCAGAACATTATCTTTACAACTCCAGCTGTGAGTTTGTTTCGCTGACCTACTGATTACGTGATATTTTTATCATAATCAGTGGCTTCGTCATTATACGACAGATCTAATTTAGACTCGCCCACAATCATCAACAAATCTAAAATTTCAGAGGAGTGTTCCTTGATAGGAAGTACTGTAGACCTGTCATGATACAAAATATAACATTTTAACGGAGTTGATAAACGCGTTGCCAGGCAACAGCTCTTTGTACACGGTCGAAAACTTCACAGCAGTTTTCTGTTGTCTGCGCCACGCCCAGCACTGGTAACGGACCAATGAACTTACAGTCTAATACGTGATATGTGTTTTATCTGTGGTCTGCGCTATGCAACAATAGAGATGTTGTGTTTTCTGTGCGTGGTCCGTGCCGAGATGATATGAGAGAATACGAGAATAGGAATTGATTTGAAACCGTGTCAAGGCTGGGTCGAATGCCCCCATCGTGCCCCTGTTAGTTTTAGGGGATGAAGAAGAGGGAAGTCTCAAATCTGAAACAGTGAAATATGGGGCTCGGACATGAGAAAGACTGCGCTGGCAAGGGCCAGCAGCTTGTACAATGACAGACCCGTCCTCTAGTCAGATAGGGCGCCCCACAAAAACAAGACCGTAACTCTCAAACAGTAACAAATATCTGATCATGAGCCAGAAATGGGGCTCGACATCAAAACCTACTGACTGACTGACTGACTGACCGTCAGTCGCAATGTGACCATTACTTTGACTTTCGAATTGACTTGACTTGAGTTCGGAAGTACCAAGGGAATAGCAGTGTGACCAGAAGAAGAATTAGAAGTCTTAGCGTGTGACGTTACATGTCCTGTAGTACATCGATATCAGAAGTGTGTACTTTAGTGAGACTTCTATAGTCCCTTTGTTATAAATCTTTTTCCAGGAAACCGACAGTAAAATCTGGTTGAAATAGACTGAGATGATTGTAAATTGTATAAATCAGCAATAGTGTATTACTTACTTCCAGTTAGGTCGCGCCATAGCTCAAGCAGTTAGTGTCTGGCTTCCCACGGCGGCGGCCCGGGTTCGATCCCGGGTCTGGTCAAGTGGGATTTGTGGTGGACAAAGTGGCGCTGGGGCAGGTTTTCTCCGAGTACTTCAGTTTCCCCTGCCAATCTTCATTCCACCAATT